AAACATACGCCCTCAAACGATAACGGGTCCCAGGGTGGGTAGATCTGGGGACGGAACGCTCTGGGGGGTCAAACAGCTCTGTGTGTACGCCCGATACGCCCTAGCCCCGCCTCTCCCCACCTCTCCTGCTCACCCCCGTCATTGCTGATGTGTTTCGCCAAAAACAACAACAACAAAAACAGTGTTTCGAGGCAGGTCCCGGTATCTCGCAGGACAGTGCACCCAGCAGGAGCCTCCAGCAGACCCCCGCAAGGTTCCCTCGTCCCTTGGAAGAGGCGGAGAGGTGGATGTTGGAGATGAATGTTCAGACTGGAGCCACAAACCACCAGGAGACAGGAGTTTAAACTTCTTTGTTTTATTTATCAGGGTATTCAGTTGGCGGGATGGTAGCTGTTGCCAATGGTTCTACCAACTGAATACCCTGATAAATAAAACAAAGAAGTTTAAACTCCTGTCTCCTGGTGGTTTGTGGCTCCAGTNTCCAGCCGACACCTGTTTCGTCGGGGGTCCTGCCAACTCCATGTCCTGTCCCGTTGGGGGTCCCGCCAGCTGCTCTTCTGCCGGGGGTCCTGCCAACCCTGTGTCCTGTGCCGTTGGAGGCCCTGCTGACTACTCTTCTGCCGGGGGTCCTCCCAATCCTATGTTCTGTGCCATTGGCAACAGCTACCATCCCACCAACTGAATACCCTGATAAATAAAACAAAGAAGTTTAAACTCCTGTCTCCTGGTGGTTTGTGGCTCCAGTCTGAACATTCATCTCCAACATCCACCTCTCCGCCTCTTCCAAGGGACGAGGGAACCTTGCGGGGGTCTGCTGGAGGCTCCTGCTGGGTGCACTGTCCTGCGAGATACCGGGACCTGCCTCGAAACACTGTTTTTGTTGTTGTTGTTTTTGGCGAAACACATCAGCAATGACGGGGGTGAGCAGGAGAGGTGGGGAGAGGCGGGGCTAGGGCGTATCGGGCGTACACACAGAGCTGTTTGACCCCCCAGAGCGTTCCGTCCCCAGATCTACCCACCCTGGGACCCGTTATCGTTTGAGGGCAGGGGTGGACTGGCCATCTGGCATACCGGGCATCGTCCAGGTGGGCCGTTGACCCAATGTGGGCCGGTCCGCAATGTTTTTTTTTTCTTTTCGTTTTTTCCCCTCTAAATTCCCTCCAATTGGGCCGGCCAATTGGCTACAGAGGGCTAGCAGTGTGTTGCCAGCATCGACACATATTATTGGTCTACTGTTTGTCATTGTCAATCAATCATGGGCTGATAAGCTCAGAGAGCCCTGACAGTGCTGTCAATCACAACACAAACCAGGGTGGGGCGGGACCTCATGGCATGGGTGGGAGTCGCGGGACNTGGTGTCCTTTGACAGGTCTTTGGTCTTGGCCATAGTGGAGTTTGGAGTGTGACTGTTTGAGGTTGTGGACAGGTGTCTTTTATACTGGTAACGAGTTCAAACAGGTGCCATTAATACAGTTAACAAGTGGAGGACAGAGGAGGCTCTTAAAGAAGAAGTTACAGGTCTGTGAGAGCCAGAAATCTTATTTGTTTGTAGGTGACCAAATACTTATTTTCCACCATAATTAGCAAATCAATTCTTTAAAAATCAGACAATGTGATTTTCTGGATTTTTTTCTCTCGTTTTGTCTCTCATAGTTGAGGTATACCTAGGATGAAAATTACAGGCCTCTCTCTTCTTTTTAAGTGGGAGAACTTGCACAATTGGTGGCTGACTAAATACTTTTCCGCCCCACTGTATATCCTCTGAGTTACCTTAACATTTTTTATATAAACAACTCTATTTTTCGCTTTTATAAAAACAGCATTAATCACAGCATGTTGTTAAGGTCACTTCTGTTCTTGATGGATTTGGCCGACTGTTCTATGCCTCATTAGATTTCGACTCCAATTAACAGCCATTTTGAATATCAGCAGGCTTTGGATTTCAAAGACTGATCATGAGATAAACAAAAAGTGTTTTAACAAAAGTTACATTAGTTTTTCTTTCTGTGAAATCCCCAATACCAAGTAAAACACAATTATCTTGACAGTAGAACATCAAGGAGTTTACCATCCTGCAAATCCGCAGTGTAACAACTGAAAGTGCATATTTAAAAAGTATCAAAACACAGCACCCCCAAGAGCCGAGCCCTCTCTCAGTGAGATATCACTTCAGTTTGTATCAGGAGTGATCATCTCAGCAAACCTAAAAGCCATTTCCTTTCCTTGCTCTCTGTCTGGTTGACTTCTTTTTGTATGTCCCTTTTGGTAAAGTCAGAGATTCCAAGGCATGGACTGAAAGGCAGCCTGAGCCAATCTGCATAAAACATTGCTGTGCTTTCTCAACGTAGCAGGAGAAAGGTATTATCTCTTTCCCCAACCTTTTATGATGAACAGTTTTTACTGAAAATTATTTTTTTCAATGGCTTCTGTCAGGAATCCACATCAATGTAGCGTTGTAGTACATTGGATAAAGACGCACCGCCTTTTATTGGATTTTAGGGCTTCTTTTATTTTATATGAACATTGTACTTAAAATGTTGCAGATTTTTTTAATGAAGAAAAACAAAAACACAAACTAGAGGCAAACTACGAAAATATTTCTTACAAAGCAATTAACGTAAACCAGGCCCTGATTAGTGATTAGGAACACCTGAGGGAGAGGCTGCTCCTGGAGGGAGACAATCAGGGGGAGAGGGGGGGAACACAAACACAACACGGCACGTAGCATAAAGTTAAACTGATTTAGTTTTGACTGAAAAGTCTCGATGTTTTACACAAGCCTTCCATGGTATTAGAAAGATATGGAAGTTATACAAAAAAAACACAATTCACCACGGTGTGTAAAACGTGCATAACAGATTTGCTGTTCTCTATGCGTGTTGACGTCACCACTACGACCCCGCCCCCGATGCTGAGCCCTCCTTGCATCAGCACCATTTCTGAGAGAGAGAGGGGGAGAGAGAGGGAGACAGAGAGTGAGAGAGAGAGAGTGAGAGAGAGATTACCCAACCCAAGCAGAGCGTAGCCTACTGAGGCGTCAGACGGCCGCCAGAGCATTCCGGTTACGCACCGTTCAGAGGGCCCATCGACGGTTCGCAGCGCCACAAGCAGCTGAAGAAGAAGTCACCATACCTGGGCACACGGCCACGTTTATAGTCAGTAATGGAGAGCCTGCTGGATAATCCCATGAAAGCCGTTCTTTACCTGAAGGAGCTCACCACTATCGTGCAGAACCAGCAGAGCCTGATCCAGACGCAGCGCCAACGCATCGACGAACTCGAGCGAAAGGTGGAGGACCTGATAGGAGAGAACCGAAATTTGAGGGACCCCCACCACTACGTCCAGCAGCCCCCTCAACATCACCACCATCACCACCACCCGACTCACCGCAGCGCCAGTCCCCAGGCACCGGCCAACCTCCATCTGCACCCGGTGAGCAACAAGGCTGCGGCTCACCTCGGCCAGCAGGCGCAGCAGCAACAGCCGCCGCCGCTGCTGCAGCATCAGCAGCAGCAGCAGCAGCAGCAGCAGCAGCAGCAGCAGCAGCAGCAGCAGCAGCAGCAGATCCCCGGTCTACCGGCCCAGCCTCAGCAGCATCCCATCCCTCCCGCGCCGACTGCCCACCACCCCCAGCAGCTCCAGCTCGTCCCCACCTTACCACAGTCGCCCAAAACGAGCCAAGCCAGCCCGGACTCCGTGGAGGAGGACAAGAGGAGCCCCTGCTGTAAGTCCCTGGTTCCGCAGACTCCCACCACTCTCTGCCGCTCCGTCGGGCTGGCGAGGAAAACGGAGTAAGTAGCTTACAGTACATGCTGTGTGCACTACAAAACCAATGTTAACGAAACATTTACTGTGAATTCTGACCGATTTTTCCTCATAAAATAGACAAAACTATTCACATAAGATATGCAAATGCAGCAAATCCCTTTTAACTTGTTGAATTTTCGTCTCCATAACAGAGATGCCCTTTAGCAATTGCTATTTAGGCTTCTCCTGACTCACAAAATACATAAATTATTTCATATTTTATTCAGCGACCCTAATAATATGGATACTTTTTCTTGTCTAAATATAGCAAATGTGCTTGGAATAACACTGTAGTACCCTGAAGGTCCATGAGATCAAACACCACAGCCTGTTATTTCCCATGTGAGGGTGTCAGATGACATTTTGGAGACATTTTCAACAGATGCAATACAGTTAAGATTGTAAAGAAGACGTGAAATAGTATCACTGCATGAGGCCTGATGGATTTACCTTTGATTAACTCCACACCCCCTGAGGCTTAATTTCCTGACAGGTAATTCAAGCTACTCCTGTGTTTTCACGTTTATTCACTTGTTCAGTTGTTGCCCTGCTAAATCAATGGAACGCCTAATGGTTATTGATTTTAAGACCAAGGCTGGCATTTTAAAAGTTTTGGTTTGTTAATTCTGCACCAAGGTAAATTGTCACTACTGGGTGGGACTCCATGTTGACATTAGAGTATCTTTGATGATTTGTAATGAAACAGGAATTTATTTAAACCATGCCCTCAGCAGGTCATCCTTACTTTGCCCTTTGGATTAGTTGTTTGTTCCGGTGAGGTTGCTGTGCCCACTTGTGTTTGCACACCTTGAATGTGTTATAAGCTATTTTAAAATGCATCTGTTTGACGCTTGCTGAGGTAGCGTTTTCACAGGTGCAAGGGAGCGTGGTGGCATTATAAACACACACTTTATAGTTAGTGAGTTTTATTTTGCATGAAGGCATATCTTTGACCTTGAGGCATATGATTGTACGTTCACACATACAAAAACTACCTTCTACTTTTGATTGTGCAGACTATAATGTTTTCCTTATTAAGGCACACACTAAAGGATGTAACACTGCAGGAACACAGATGGAGTAATAACAACAAAGACAGAAAGATATTTACAACCTTACAGCCTCGTGAGAGTGACTAATAAGCCTTGATCTGTTTGATGAAGGTATGTTTCAAGTCAGTGTCAGATTCCTGGTTTCAAACAAGGTTGGTGGCATCAAGATTCTGTTATTTAGTCTCTTTTTTTCCCTGTTTTGGAGCATATATTTTCATAATCAAGCTACCATCAGGGTTTGTTACTTTTCCGGATCATTTTTTATTTTGTGGCTGTTGGTCGAATGAGCTGAATGTTTTTTGTTAGCCACAATCAAGGTCATTTGCCTGCCTGTGCCAGAGCTACACACACGCACACAAAACACACCGCGCTGAGCCCCATCTGTCCCACTAGGCTGCATTTGCATTGTTTCTGTTAATCCAGATTGATTCATCGTGCCATTAAGACATAATTCCTAAAAAACATGGGTCAGGAATATAAAACATTAGCATGGAAGTAAAACAGAACTGCTTTTAGGTGAATTGACCCCAGAAATGGGCAAACACACACTAGATATGAGATGTACCAATTAAATGTCAGCAGGGTTGTAATCGGGTACTATTTCAAACTCTTCAGAGACACAGGCATATTTGGAAAAACTATGCTGACCTGATTTATCACAAAAACGAGTTTCTCAATGACTCATGAGGTCTTACTCTTACCTGCCCTGTAGCAGAACCACGACTGACTCAGCTTCTTCTTCTTCCTTTTATGGTTTTATGGCGGGTGGCCATCTACTGTATTGGAGTTGACCAGAGCAGCCCCTTTTAAACATGTAGCCCCTCCCAGCAGCCTTCACTCACAGGGAAATCAAATGTATCCAAAATCCACAGCTTCTAAACCCCAATACATACCCAATAAGTGTTATATTGATGTACAAGCTTTACTTAAAGTTATGTTCTTTAGGCATAACGGTTTAACAAAACAACAATTATGCATCTCACATGATGATGAAATAACACCAGAACACATTATTTGAATGGGAGAAATTATGCACATCTATGGGTCTACTGCACACTTCCAAACATTTAAGTAAATATTATTTGTGTGCAATTTTTTTTCTAAAATAGTAACAAATAGTAGGTACTAATGGTTGTGCTGCGGAAACGGATCCATCACCGGGGGATTCCATACGTGGGTTCCTTAGTGATTCAGCAACCATGCCCCCTGAAAGTCCTGCAGATTGATTAACATTGACAGAAATATGAAAAAAAACTCAAAGAAGGGAGAGTACTGTACATTTTTATTTTGCTTAATGGGAATATAGTGACACATGAAAAGTAGGAGACGTGAAGTGGCATTGTAATTTCCATTTAGAAAATTTATCCTGGTCACACAAGATGGTGTATCTGTGCTGTCAGTGCCGCAGGAGGAATAATACATTTCAATTAACGTGAGGATGACAGGGACACATCACAGACATACTAATAAGGGCTGTGTGTGTATTTGTTTATATATTTATCACTAATTTTACTGTTTCTAAAAAGCTTAAGTCTGCAATCCACATTGAAATATGACAGTGAAACAGAAATGTGTCTCTTTTACAATTTGATTTTCGTACTGTTATAACAAATCAGTAAATACGTTTTGTAAACAGTGCACGAAGTCCGGCTAGTTATTACCCTGTTCCCTGTCTTTGTGCTAAGATAAGTTAGCATAGCGGCTAGCAGTAGGCTACTTTAGATTACACACATGCAAGTGGTATCGAGCTTCTCATCTATCTTTCAGCAAGCAAAATTACAATGAGGCTTAGGACGATAATATTGATAGATTCTTTTGGGTAAATAGTGACAAAAGGAGATAAGGCACACAGCAAGTATCTCGGAATACTAGGATGGACTGTATATCCAACATTACCGTTCACCATTCCAACAGCTTATGTGTGTTTTTACTTGATTGAAATGAAGCAAAAAATCCATTTGCAAAGCTTTAAATTACAAATGAAATGCCTGCTCAGTCACATCATTCATTCCTCATCTCAAGCTTCGAACAGCAAACGTGGCTGTAAAGTTGATTCCATGTATTTTGCTACTGATGTTTTGCAAGTGTGTTTCCCAGTCTGAGAAAGATTCTTAAGGGGCTTGTATGATCTGAGGGGAAGTCTTAAGTAATCCTGTCTACTCGTCTCGCTTCCTCCTCTCCCTGTCAACTCCCGCTCATACTTTCTCATACTCAATCTTTCGTGTTTTCTCACTATCGTTGAATTTAAATTATACAGATGTCCACCTATAGTATTGATCCTAACCTACTTGACTGTCCTAATCTCTTTTCACCTTTATCCAAAACTGAAACATTGACATTTGCTGGCTTTCAGTCCAACTCATCTTTGGTCCTATGTCTACACTTGGAGGTTGCCAAGTGTGTGTGTGTGTTACATTTTGAGAATGTGAAGTTTGGAGTCAGGAAGACTGATAATAAGGGTAGTCTTGGTGGTGTTTTTTTTATTTGTGTCGAGGCACGTGCGTGTCTGATAGGCAGAAATCCCTTTTCTGAAGGTGGATATCCCAGGGTTCTCGTATAGCTCCAGGTGCTTCTTCCCTGCCTCCCACACTCTCACAGATATTTTAAGCTCTTGCTCTTACACACAAAACACTCACTAATGCACACAAACCCGAACATGCCTCATGCCACCTGGCAGCCCGCATGTTTTTCCGCATTGGCCGTGACTCCCAATGCGCCCGCCATGCCCTCGTTTTCATCCTACTGGCCTCCTACCAGCTGGAGCTCAGTATGTATGCCATCTCACATGCTGGGGGGGGGGGGGGGAGGGTTGAGCACACATACATCCTAGCATACATTACAGAGTGACCCTGCTGAGTGCCGGCTGGATGCTGCAGTGTCTCCTTGTTCTGATGCTCTCAGATCAATGAGCCTGCAGCTTAGCCAGCACAGCCTCCAGCAGCTATGCTAACCCTTAAGAGCAACTCTGGCCTTGATCTTCAGGTGCTGATCCCTATCTTAAAGCCACGCTATCTTTTATCTCAAGTAACAAGGCCTTTCTACTAAATATTAGCCACTCTCTGTAGGAGCAATGTGTTTGTTACATGTTACATTAACCTCTGTCCAACTATGTTAGACTTTAAAAACCTTACAGTTGTGTGGCTAGCTGGTCCACACTGGGCTCGTTTTTAACCAAAACTAACAGACCATTTTTCAATATAGAAATATACAAGAGAACAGCTGTTGTAAGTGGATATATGGGATGCTTTTCTGTCTTTTTCATTAAAGTAGTTGCTGTATGGTAATTAAGAATTGATCTTGCTTATGCGTTACCTACTTGACACCTCTGATGGGCTAAGGTAATGGTTTGGTAGAAACCAGTGAACATATCACCATATCTAATAAATACGAATGTTCTACTCATTATCTTTGCAAACGGTGGAAATGTACTATAACCCAAATGTGGGAACCAATGGAAACAAAATCTTTTTTAAAGCTCATACTCATCATCAACCGAAAGTAACAGACATTTTTTCAAATACAGTCAGCCTGCTGTTGCTGGGCAGGTCGTGTAGAGTGGATTTCATAAGGAGCTTTTAGTTGAAAACAGCTGTCGGCTGCTGGAAACTGAATTAATGAGGGTAACAAAACAATAACACTGTGAAACTGCAAAGCAAAACGCAGTGAGAAAAATACACATTATTTGTGATTTTGGTAAATTGACCTTTTCCTTTTAACCCCTTTATCTAGAGCCTCAAAGAAAAGTACAATCTCTGCCTCGATAGAAAGATGGCTGGATGATGGATGTAATGACTGCAAATGGACATATTAGTTCTCCCTGTCCTCTTCTTTATTTTGCCTCCTGCCACCATTTCTGGAGAGCTGGAATCTCCTCTCCTCGCCCCCCCCCCCCCGCTCTTTACTTCACTCCCCCTCCCCTCTGTCTGAATGGG